AATGCCCATGTGATTACTTTTTTTTTTTTTTTTTACTAAAGATACAAACAGGGACCATTTTAAAAAACATTTCTCTTCTTTCCCAGGTGCTTTATGGCTGTTTTTATGTGAAGGCTTTATTTAACTGCAATGCCTTCTGGGAATTTGAATTCTTAAAGAAGAGAAGGGGTGTATGTTCTGCCATTGGTTGTCATGTAAGCGTTCAATAAATATTCCAGGTCTATTATGGCTTATAACAGCTTAATAACCAACTTCAAATGCAATTCAGTTCAATGCGTGTACCAAAGAAACATGTGAACGAAGACATGCTTTTCCTCTAAGTCAAGTCTTGTGTTCAGAATTGAGGAAGGTGTGTGTTGACAGTGTGGAAAAAAACTAGCAACCGGACCTTGAGTTCAGTTTTTGGGAAAATCAAAGATGCTTCCTATATCACATTAATGTCTCCTCCAAACACCTGAAAGTCAACTTAAGCTCTAATTTTATCACCTCTCCTTTGTCAACTTTGTGAATTCCCCCTTAAAGTTTTACTAAAATGATGGAACTAAATTGAGTGTCAATAGGCCTGAAAAAATCATAACTGAGGTGAAGTTGTTGGAGACACCCTAATAAAATTATATTATTATAAATTAAATTACAATGCTGACAAATGAATAGGCAAGATAAGAAAATCAGCTAGGAAAAAACAGATTTGAAATCATTTGCTGTGTTTTTTTTTCCCTTTTTAATTTACTGGTGGTTGAAAAGGCAGAATTGGACCTCTGTGTCTGACAATGAGTCGGATTTAAGACACAGAGTTTGACCATTACCCAACATGAGCTACTGTACAAGTCTCTGTGCTGCACTAAGGATGCAAAAAGGAAAGGAAGGAAAATCATTTATTGCACATTGCATTAGAAATAAACTAGTGAATTTCAACAGTGTGTTTTGGAGTGGAAGTAACAGAGTTAAGGTCCTGCAGGCTCCACCCATACAGGTGTTTGCACTTAGATTAGAAGTCCTCTCATGACTGTCATCCCTCGCTCTCCTGCTTTGTTCTAATTTTCCAACAAATGTAAAACATATGCCGTCTGAATCATTCGAAAGCTCACGTAAACATTCTACAGAGTGGCATTAATATAACAGAATAGCTCCAACCAGCTAGCCAGCTAAAATAACAGGCCTTTTTCATGAAGACCTTTTCAAGAAGTGTTGGAGAATGGAGGAAACATAGTAATTTAACTTATTTTGGAGATTGATTTTTGCTACAGCTTTTTTAAAACTGGTGGATTTAGACAAAAATAATTTCATCCTCCTTCAAAATATGCACATCTATCTATTTTATAGCACGTTAAAGGGGAACAGCACATTATTATGTATTTGTATGCCCTTCCCTTAAAACAAAGAGACACTCCATACTGAATTGCTAGTGGCAAAGAGACTGGTTCTACTACAACAGTCAATAAGAGGCTTTCTTCTGGAGCTCTCTGAAGGTTGCAACTGGAGGAACACCTTAAAGTTCCTCAAGCCCTTTTAATTTTACATTGTACGAATATCTTGTGTCTCACAGTTTGACACGAAACAAAGGCCACTGCCTGTTACTAATATGAGCTGAGGACAAGCACAGGGACACTACCCATGGCTCACTTCAGCAAGGACGCAGTAACAGGAGACGCTATTGATAAAGTTGTCAACAAAGCCCCCCCCACCCCACCCTGAGGCTCAAGGACACCCTAACCTTCACAGCCAAGACGCGCGGGGCGGAACGCTGAACGGACACCGGGAGAGAAGAGTTGTGTAGGCATTTTTTTTTTTTTAATGTTTAGATATTTACTCTGTGAAAAGGTGAGAGCCCATCTGAATGGTCAAGACAACAGCTTAGAATACATTTCAAAGGGACAAACATGAACATTTGAAACAGCTGACAGAGGCGTCTGATTATAGCAGGCTTCTACCTGTACTTTGACATTTAACAACACTCATAGAAATCTGTAGAGTCAGAGGAACAAAACAAAAATGATATGAGGTCTAGGTCTATTGTATTGCACATACAGAAAATGCTCATTCAAGTTTGCATACAATGATTAAGAAATATTCCCAGAAGAACCACTGGTATAAGAAAAGCAAAGAAGGACTGAAAATAACCAAAAAGGGTGATTGTGATTAGCTGAAACTGGATAGAAAAGAGAGAAAAAAAGAGTGAAATTCTTGTTTAAAAGAAACTTTTCTTGACGTGGTGAGCTGTGGCTCAGGTAGTTTTCACACTGATGGTTCACTTTTATTCCCTCCATGATCATATACTGCTAGAGAACTGTGTGACAGGAGCGGTGAATGAAAACAATGCAACATCAAGCTACTAGTGTGTTTGGGGAAAAACAGACATGACTAGCACAACACAGGGCTACATTCACAAAGCAGGTCTTGATTCTATTCTGGGATGTAACCCAGTCAGATCTGACACCGATAGGACCTGGAAGTGACAGCGATGCAAACAAGCAAAGCGAAAGGGTTTTTGTATCTTTGCGTCTCCTCTCTGGGATAAAGTACATGCGGTTTCAAGTCCCCTCTTTGAAATTTCTAGTAGGCAAAAACTATTAAAAATTTCAAAAACTTGATTTTGGTTGTCTTGTTTTGTTAAAGGGTTCACAAATAGATAAATTCAAGTGTCCAATATTTAAAAAATATATTCAAGTTGCTCACATTTTGCAGATCTAACAACACCAAGAGTCTGCAGTCAATGAATGTGACGTGAATGTACCAATACATTTAGATTGTTGTTTTCAAAGAGTGGTATTTAACATCAGCGGTGGTTAAAAGTCATCAGTTTCCCGTAAGTTGTGTCATGTTGCCTTTAATGCTAACACATTTCTCAGAAAAGCTGACGAGTATTTTATTGTTCAGATAAATGATTTCTTGCATGTCCAAATGATCCACGGGAGCAATGATGTCTAAACTGTGCAATTTGAGCTGCAGTTGAATGTAGCCACAGTATTTTAATGTGTTTCTACCACTCAGACTGTCAGGCATAATGGGAACTTGAGCCAAGAACTGCCAGTATAAATTGAAGGCAATTCTGTTTGTGGACATGTTTCTGTCCTCTGGCAGCCGCTGTGCTTGGTGACAAAGCTGGAGGCTCATTTCCATCAGAACAATTATCTTTGCCATACAACAATGATCAGTCGTAGTCACGGCAGCTGTACTAATATATACAGGCAAAAGGCTGTATTGCTCAGTGTCAAAATGAAGAATTGACCTGCTGTTTGAAAAAGAGTGGTTACAAACAGTCTCGGCCCTCCAGACCAAACATTAGTAAAGACTAATGTCTATGCAGTAGTACAGTGTTTGCACTATGCTGTCTGAAGTCAAGTGAACTGAAAAGGGTCATTACAAAAATAAAGCTGATCAGTTTGATTGGTTTTGTCAGGAAAAAATTATATTTACTGTCACTTGTCCAACATGTTGTCTACGTATTTAACAGTGTCCAACCAAACAGCTCATTAAAGGGGTACTCTGGAGATTTAGTAAACTTCCATAAACTTGGAGGCCTTTTGAGAATCAGATTTTTAAAGATAACAGCGAAAACAGAAGCAGCCGAGGCAGAGATATGTTGACTTCCCTTGTATGGGGTCAAACTAAAGAAAACAACCTGGGTCCTACATTTCCCATAATACAGCTGGATAGGATCTTGGGTTAGAGCCTTGCTGCCTGCTCACGCCCACATTTTTCAAACTTGTAATCAACATTTCTGTTATAAATTTGTAGTCTTCAAGCCCAAGCTGGGATAACCTTGATGATATCACTATGACATCATCAGGGTTATTCTCTCGGACCCAATCAAACTCCTCCAGAGCGACAGAAGAGATCTTATAATTGTTTGGACAGATTAGTACCATCCATATCACGTAAATTGTTCTTCCTGTCTAAAATCAGCAGAGTGCCCCTTTAATCAATATTTTTGATATTACAACTAAAACAAAGTACTTCCTGTAGGAGTTGCTAGTACTGCCAGTTCCACTGAGAATCAACACCTCAGCTCATTGTTTTGGTTCACCGCTCCATATAGACTCCCAATGGCTGTCACCAATCCCACATATAAAAACTTGTAGGCAGCCATTGCACACAAGCCGTGTGTATGCTGGTGACGAAAGGCAAACATTGAGATGTAACAGACAAACGTGACACATATTGGACCACATCAAGAATCAAAGGCGAATGAATACTGGATTTACATTCATCAGGTGGCGAGAAAAAGGTGGGGGGGTCATTAGGTGGTCAGTAATGCAGCTTTAAGACCATCATTTTTGCATGGAAATTTCTTTTCCCTAGACAGTATGATATGATTGACTGCAATGACTGCTATGACTGATACACCAAGGAAACAGTCTTATCTCTGTGAGCTACGTCAAACTGAAGTGTATCATATGGGCCAATTACATATTCATCAAACTCTCTCACACACACACACACTTACACACACCCTCCCGCCAGCACCCACACACCAAATGTTTTGTCTGCAAGATTCATGAAATCATTTAAAAAAGGCAGCAGTTATAGCTTAGAATTGATCTAAGAGTTCCTGAATCTAAAAAAAATACAGAAGTCTTAGCCTAGCGGTAAAACTAACGTCTTTTAGGACATTAACCCTTTTTTTGTTTCGTCTTGTAGAAGGCACACAAACTACCACAAAAGTATAGTAATAATCTTCAAATGTGCAAAAAAGCTCAGTTTACATCATTTCCTCAATAAAAGAATGAAGGGTGGGGGAAAAGAAAAAAAATATTCAGTATCTCACTCTCTGCCAGCCCCCTCCTGTTTCTGTGGAGGAGAATTGCAGTGTCCGTGGGCGTCATAGTAGAAATGTGCTTTAGAACCAACACAAGCACCTCTGCATTTCTTCCATTGGCACTTAGTTAGCATTAGTGCAGATACGAGGGCAGAGGCAGAGTCTGCATCAGCAGCATGATGTGCTGATTATGCGGTTGAAAGGCTGCACACCAGCATGAT